GTTATCAGGTAGTCATGTTGAGATTGAGATTGAGACCTTTTTCTAATAATAAAAAGTCATAGTGTCCCAAACCATTTCATAGATGGGTAGTAAAGTAGAAGAAAAAAAGAAGACAGAAATCACAAAAAAAAAAAATTACTATCAGAAAAATGTATATTGAAAAGAAAACCCAGACCCAGAGGTCCCCAAAGTCAATTTATACTTCATTAAAGTACAGATTGTGCCAGTACTTGGCCTCTCACCTGCTCCACAATGGAGGCCAGCCTCCCCAGAGCCAGGCCACATTCATCGCCACGGGTGACCACAGCGCTGCCGAGCTTGACTACAATCCTCTTGGCCTGACGCAGTTCGCTGCGGTGTGCAAAGGAGCTGCCAGGGGACCTCCCCTGGGAAACTGTAAAGTAGAAGAAAAAGGAAGAGTTACATCAAGTATTTCAATGTTAGTCGGCGGCAAAACACAAAGAGAACTAACTTTGACCAATGCCAAATAGAAAAAGATAATTTCCTAGAGGTGAAATCCAAAAAGGGACTATTTTGTTGTAATTAATTAATTAATTAACAGTTCTTAAAGAGTTGACTTTCTAATTTACATGGGGAACTTAGTTAGGAGATCCATTTTTAATAAAATCCAACTGAAAATAGAATCAGAAAGTAAAATAAGTAGAAATAAACAATGTGGCAGTGTAGGCACCTTTAACTGTGCTTACAAATTAGCTGACGTATCAATATATTGGTGTACACACAGCCAACATAACATAACTGTCCAAACAAGCATGTTTTTCTGGGTTTCATTGATTATACAAGTGAGACAAAGTAAAAGCCCTCCCCTACATCCATCTGTAACCTGGGAAACTAGATAATCACAGCCTTTAAACTGCCACATCAGCAGGGCAAGCAGAAAAGCCCGTGCTGACATTACACATCTCTCTGGAGCAATGAGGCGCATGAGATAGACAGGCAGAGAAAGAGATTGGCGGGGGGGGGGGGGTGCATGATATCTTGTTCAGACTAGTGTAGGTCAGAAAAATCCCTGCAGGCATCTCATCTCAGGCAAAGTTTGCACAGTACATTACAACAGCAGTCTATCAGGTGTACCACAGTGGCCTGCAGATACTGTATTGACTATGCTGATACAATCAAAACACAATCCCGGATTCTTTTGAATTTTTTAACAATTACTTATTGTATTAGCACAAAGTAGTTATCTACATTATTGGTGAATCTTTCTGTAATGTTTTTTTCTTTTCTCATTTATTCAATAAATCATATGGCCATATATAATGTCACAAAACTGCAAAAAAAGTGCCCATTAATGTTTCCCCTAGCCTGAGGTGACCTCTTCTAATTGTTTATTTTCTCAGAGCAGTAAAAAAACAAATATTTTAATTTATAGTAACATAAAAACAGACTAAAGCAAATGTTTGGAATTTCTACTCATAAAATAAATTAACTAAATTACTTTATTATTGTTTAATATACACCTTATTTTTTTTTCAACAAATCAATGAATTGTTGGGTCAATAAAATGTCGGAAAAAACAGAGAAGAATTTCCATCAAAATTTGCTAAAGCCCCAAAAACAACAAAGAAATTCTGAATAATGTCACATATATATAAATGCAGAAAACTTCTAAAATGGAGAAGCTGCAATTGGAAAACTGTTTTTGTTTGTAACATGATGACATATCAAAATAATATCAAATTAATATTCTGTCAATTGACTAATCAAAGATCATTTCAGCAACAGATCCTTTAAATTACATCAGAATCCCTTTTTATCTAAAAGATCTGGGTTAACAAGTTTGTTGTTTCACTTTTTTTTGTAATCCTGGCTGCTGGATGACGCCATAATCTACAGTGTTTACATGGGATATACCGCAGCATAGCTTGCCTTGTGTCAGTGGCCTGGTGAACAACCGGCATACGTGTCTCTGGAAATCCAGTGGGCTCCTTGAACACAGGGTCAGCCTCTGCAGCAGCATGGTCTGTTTAATGCCTTTACAAGCACAAAGAGACACACAGAGAGTGAGGAAAAAACACAAACAATATCAGCAAAGACCTTAAACTGTGGTATTTACCTGAGATATTAGAGATTATTATTATATTTAAAGGGCAACATAAAGGGTGATCCCTTCTATCCCCATGCACAGTTGATGTTTTCTACTGGTTTCCTACATGGTAAAGTAATTTAAAGCTTTTGTTCTTACTTGACCTCCTGAAGTCCCAGTTTAGCTTCTCCTGTGTGTGTACCTGGCCTTTATAACGTCTTCTATTGAGTCTTGTTCATCTTCTTTAACCCGTTATTCTCTAATTTCTCACACAAATACTTGAACAGAGGTGGGCTCTGTATGTGTACGACTCCTCCCCTCACTCAAAGAGCTGCTGATGAAACTGTCACTGCAGTTTGCACCGGCCGTCTCGGTAACGTTACCAAAGCGTCCGTAAATTACAGATAGAGTGGTTTAATGCGGATAAAAATACAAAACAGTTAGTTTCACACACTTGGTGAACGTTAAAAAATAAAAATTAAACGTTGTTTTGCTACAGATGAAGCCTCGTGGTGAAGTGGCAGGATGTGGCGTCAGGCCGGCCGGCGAAATGCGGAAGTGGAACGGAAGTGTCGTTTAAAGTCTCATATTTCAGAATAAAATTTATTACATTTCTTGGTTGCATCATCTTTTTTAACCAACGATAACAAAATCTGTTCCGTTAATAATAATGATGATGGACATATTATTTTCAATGTTCATTACAATTTATAATCATTTACAATTTTCAGAAACACTTTCTTTTTTGTATTTATATATACACCTGTTTTTCACCCTCTTGTATAGTAATAATAGTTTTATATTTATTTTACCTATCATTGTTCAGCTAGGTTGTCGGACTATTTCTATCTTGTGTAAATAATTTTTGGAGCTGTATATATGTAGTAATTTATAGTTTAAAATATAATTTACAAAACATAATATTTTATATTAACATCACAGTACTTTTCTTCTTACTGTATTATTTATTTATTGTATAACATTCCTGAGTGGAAATTGTTGGTTTTTTGCAGTGAGGTGAAACTGATATACACAATGCTTGCAGCATGCAAGAAACAATGAGGCATGTTATTTAGCATATTGAATCTACATTAAAACACAACTCATGCTTAATCAATGCATAAAAAATGTGGTTATTGTTAGCCATAATACATTTCACATTGCTTTTTACACAACAAGCTCCATATTTTACAGTATGTAGCAATATACAGCCAAAATGAAATGTTTTCCATAAAATTCTTAACTCTTTATTGGTAATTATTCTCAGTTTATTAATCTGAAACAAACAGGAAGACATGGGTGTATCCAAGTTTCCTAATTAGTTATTTAATTGACTTTCATTTGCACCATGTGGTGGGGAAATCACAAGGTCGCAATAGTGATGAAAGTTCTCTGTACCTGTACTGGCCTGCTGTGACAAAATGAAAAGTAACCTAGAGCAGAGTTTACTGACACTGTTGGACTCCTACTGCCCCTAGGACCAATAGATAACTAAATTGGCTCCTGTAGCTCTGGCTAAATGCGTGTTATTCTATTAAATCTGTCCTGTTCTTTTCTCTGTTGTCCGCTTTTGCCTTTTATCTGTTCTTCTGTGTTCCTCCTCCTCTTCGGTCTTTTATCTGTCCATCTGACTCTGGGGAAGGAGCTGCCCCTTACCTTACTCCTGGCTCCACTAATCTACTGTGTGTGTGTGTGTGTGTGTGTGTGTGTGTGCACAACCTTTTAACTTTTTGTTGTTGTGTAATTGGTAAAACTGAACCCCATATTAATTTACAAACCAAAACATGTTTTATATTCTGGTCATGACCAAAACAAAATTCACAAAAAAAACAACACTTGGTCCAGGCTGAAATATCCCAACAGCTATTGGATGGATTGTCTTGAAATTCAGTGCAGGATTATTTGTAATATCTTTGATTATCCCCTGATTTTATATCTATTGTAGCACCACCATCCGTACTTTGTCCAGTACTTTGGTTTCTGACTAAACACCCCCAAAGCTAATGATATTTACATTATCCTCAGCTGTACTTTGTGTTTGTTGCCAAATAGTGAATTTTACATGCTAACATGCTAAAATGTTAACATGGTATCCATTATACCTGCTCAACATCAGCATGTTAGCGTTGTAATGTTAGCATTTAGCTCCAAGTACCTGTACTGTGCCAAAGTGCAGCCTTACAAAACCATTAGCATGGCTCCAAATTCAGTGTTGTTGTCATGTATGTTTCTGAATGATACAAATTGAGTTTGAAAACTTTATACAGTAATATATTAATCAGGTTGTGTTGTGTTGTGTATATGTGCTTCATTAATTGTGTCTCAACTCATTATCTCTCTGGTCAAAGTGGCATCATGTGGATTGTTTCTAATATAAACATGTCTAGATGGCAGCAGAGCCACTCCAAAATAGCTGCAGATACACAACAGTTTAAACCCAGATATTCAACCCCCACAGTCAAGCTGACCAGTTATCCACTGAACAAAAAGCCGAAAAGATCAGAGGTGCAGTACTGTCTCCACTGAAGATTACATTTTATCAGTGGAAAAGACAAACTTCAAAAGTAAAGATTGCCAGAAGTAAACAGAAAAGTAGCAGCATAAAGAGTAAGTGGAAAGAAAGTTTGTTAGAAGAAAGGATCAGCGGAAAAAGTAAGTTGCATGTTGTTTTATTATCCAGATATTCAATTATTGTACTTATAATTATACATTATGTTCAATTTCTTTCTTTTTTTCACCATAAAGACTGTCAGCAACATGAAATGACTTGTAGCGTCAAGACTTCATATTTCATATCACATGTAAATGGACTAAATTCATATAAAGTCTGTTGGATTCCTTTAAGGCAGAAAGGGAGATTTTCAGCACAAGAACAAAGGAAAACAAGAACAGAGGAGGAATATTGTCAAAAATAAGCTTATGGCAAATTAGAATGGAAGTAAAGTATATTGGACTTATTTACTGATGAGCACAATAACTGATGTTGCCACATTTGATCCAAATTAACTGGGCAGTGATATATTAATGGTACAATAATTTTCTGACCTCTCTCCTCCATACTGATCCAATCCAGACAGGATTAGTGGTTGGTTGGTGGAGGCAGCAGGGATGTGCAGTGTGGGTGGTACACGTAGAGCTGAGCTGGACTGTAGCGTCCTGGAGGAGGACTGGCAGCGAGGACAGAGCTACACGGCTCACTGGCACAGCCTCACCCTCTACCCACAGCATCACCACAGGTTAGTGAAAATGTTCTCCATTTCAACAGATTTACACACTTTAACTGAATAATATTTAAACACGGGTGTAAATGTAGTGATAGAGGCAAACATGGTTTTTGATGGTATTTAACCAACATGAAAATACTGTTACAGCATTTCCACATAGGTTTTTGTGTGTGTGGCTTCTGACCCTTTTACAGGCCAATAGTGATAGAGGCAGAGTGCTCAGCAAAGCACTGGGAGGCCAGGAGGCTCCTCCAACGGTTCCTCTCAGGAGCTATCAGCAAGAATTACCCAAAGCCCAAAACACACTCAACCAGACAACCCCAGCAGCCCATCTCTGACCCCTCTGCCAAAGGGCCAAAAGTGCAACAAGGCCCAGTTCATATCCAGAAGGAAGTATGCTGTGTGACCATGAGACCAGATAGCACTGTGGTGAAGATAACAAAGTTGCCGAGGTTTCTGGGCTGAAACCTTCGTTGTCTCTTCAAACATGCAAGCACTATCTGTATTTTTTTTTTGCAGCTTAATTAATTGTGATTGTTTGTGTTTGAAATAAAACTAGATTCTTGTTACAATGTAACTGTCTTGGCTAAATGTATGTCATAAAAATATATTTAATTTTCATGAAAAAAAAAGTATTTTCATTGCAGACAGATTTCATCATTAGCATGAAAAGCTTTTTAGATGAATGATCATAAAGGGTTATGTTGTTGGTTCTTTCAGGATATAGTTTTTTGTACGACTGTTTTCATTTTATCTGGAAAGAACAAAAATTATAACAGCTGTTGATTTTCTACAGAAAATTCTTTCATGTTAATTCTAATTGATCATTTTTCTATTAATCTAAACACACATTTATACATTTAGAAGTATTTCTGACAACAGCTGATTCATGTACTCTGAATACATTATAATCAGAAAATATATTACATGCTTATATTTATAGTTAAGCAGTTTCAGCCCTTCCTTAGTTGTATTTGCAAATGTAAAACTTTTCCAACCTTTAAAATCACATTTCTGTCCAAAAACCATAAACACTGAATGTTTGAAGATTCAGAAGTAATGCCAAAGTAAAGTATGCTTAAATAAAGAAAACTCTTGATTCCTTTTACTAAGTCTACCTCTCACTGTAATCTCCAAATATCCTAATTCTAACTAATCACTTGGCAGAATTCCACATTGTAAATAACTTGTCTCCCTTGGACACTGTAATGTTTTGGATGTCTGAAAAGGGTCAGTGTGTGTGTGTGTGTGTGTGTGTGTGTGTGTCTTCTGGATTCAGGTTCAGCTGCCAGGGATGAGCGAGGTGTTAAGAGACTCCTGGGGAGAATACATTTGATTACTACATGGCCATGTTCCACATTGGTTCAGCTGCTGCTTTGGGATTCACTGGGAATAGATGGAAAATTAATTCAATCAGGGGATGAAGCTCCTTGTTTTGTCAGCTGGCCACTGTGACTAGTGGTTTCAACATTTAGAAAGTCATTTTAATGGAGCGATAAATAAGATTTGTGTCATTCCCCGGCACAATATAAATATAATGCTGAACGTACAGTAAAGTGAGGAGATTTTTAGTCTGTTAAAACTGAAAATAAATGTGAGGAACTAATTTCATGTCATAGAGCACACTGTTAACACTGTCTATACATACATTTTAAATGTAAACCAGCATCAAATTAGTGTGAAGGTCTTTATTATTTTTACACATTTCTGTGATTTAAGTTAATAAGAAGGCCATAAAATGTGTTTATTTCATCACAAGAATGACATTTGTGATATTGAATAACTGACTAAGTTGGATGTAAGCCCTTCTTCATTCTGTGGTAGTCAAGGTTGGAAAAGCAGTAATCAGTCATCAACTCCCTTAGAGTATCAGCATCAATTGCTGTCAGTTATATTATTGTTACTCCCAATCTGCATTAGTGTTTTAAATTTATTTGTGTGGATGGGTAAATGCCCTTTTAAATTATTTCAGTTTAAAAACTTTAATCTGTGTGTCAGTTCTTATACTTAATCTCCAACATACAAATATGCAATTACACCAAACATTTTAACTCTGTGTTTTTACTACCAAAATATATCATTGCTCATTCTTCCTCTTGGCTATCATCTTGCTCCTCTTTGATGGACTTTATGAAACATTTATACTTTGAAAGTTGTTGCACAAAATAATAATAATAAACCTCTTCCTGTGCACCCTATGTCAACCTCTAATTCTGTAATGATCTAATATTGCCTGTCGTCAATACAAACATCACCAAAGTGAAATGTTTGTCCTAGAGATAGACCTGTTTGTGTCTTTCAAACAGGGTTGCCTGAGACCAAATTTTGTCTATTGTTTGTGTGTAAAGGGCACTGTAGAATGATTTTGCAGATATGGAGGGCCTTTGAGAGGTGGGTGAAAGACCTGAAAGCCATGTGAGGAGTCCATTAGTGGGTCTAGTGTTGGAGGAAGCCCCCTGATCTGATGGTATCAGTGCCTCGGGGCAGGGAGCGTGAACAGAACAAATGCTATCAGGCAGCAACACGGGCCCAAAAACAGGATTGCTATCTCTCCCCAGGAAACTCAGAGTAGCCAAAGCACAGACACACACATAATGACACAGACGCACCCACATACATACACAGGTATATAAGGTGGTTGATGGGGTAGCAGTGCACCTGAAGGCTGACCGCCAAACAGAGGTATTACAAAAGTAAACAGGAGGATGGAAGAAAAGAGAACAGCGAGTGGAGTAGCGGCCATGGCAGCCTACTACCAGAGATTTGATCCCGCAGCGTATCTACAGTATAACTACACGCCACCACGGGCTGATTTTGAAAGAAAGGACAGCATTGTGCCGTGGAAACTGGCATGCCTGCATAGGGCTTTCAATGAAGGTAAGGAGAGTGATGGATCATATAAACTTTATTCCTTTGTTTTTTCTCTGTTTTTCTCTCTCACTCAACTCTCTGAAATCTAATATAACAACTCCCTATTTCTCTTTTATTCTCAGTTGCATCTTGTGTTTTAAAAAAAAAAATCTAGATCTCAAGGTTTCCAAACACACCAAATACATCAATTTAAATGAAAGAGAGAACTGTAAAAAAAACATAATCCAATAAATATATATTTTGCATTTGTGTCATCAGACGTGATTTGAAACAAGCATTTCCAGAATATGTGACACAGGGTTTAGTAGTTGCTGCAATTTTTAAATTTGCTTGATGTAAAAAACATTTTTTAGGCCCATATTCCTCTTTTTAATTTATCTTTCTTCATATTCCACACATTATTCCTCAAAACCAAACTATTTTTCTTAGTTTGGATTTAGTTATCATTTCTCAATAATGCTAATAATAAATAATAAATATTGTGTCTCTCTATTGTCAATATATTTGAATAGGAGCTGCATATTAATCAAGATATTTGGGCAAAGAACTACATTAGGTCTTTCTCAGAGTGTCGCTTCTCCTCTTTCCAGGCGATGTGAGTGGTGAGCTGCTAGTGGACATAGGTTCGGGCCCCACCCTGTACCAGGTGCTGAGTGGCTGTGAGGTTTTCAGCAAGGTGCTCCTCACAGACTACCTGGAGGTCAACAGGCAGGAGCTGAAGCACTGGCTCCAAGATGATGGAGGCTGCAACCTGGACTGGACTCCGTACCTGCAGCACGTCTGCAAGCTGGAGGGACGACGGTATGACCAGGTCCATTTAAACCCTGTTTGAAGACTTGAGATATCTGGAAATCTCAGTCACTAATGATTAACATTTGTTAATTACTCTTTATTGTGAAACAATAACAATAGCATTCTACACTACCTTTCGTCTCTTACCTTGTGGTAACATTTTTAGCTCATAATTGGCATCTTCTTTAAAAAGCCATAATTATTTCACATTTTATTCTGGCATTCTCATTGAGCCCAAATCATCCTTGTACTGTCCCTATTGTGACAATAATAAAAGTAACTTGATTTGGAGAGTCAGTTTGACAAGAAGGCATATAAAGACATATTCATAAACCAAACTTAATGTGTAGTTAGGGTGTACAGCTTTGTGAAGTTGAGCTAACATTGGCATGCTAACATGCTTGCAGTGCTAATGCGATGATGTTAAACAAGTAAAATGTTTACCATCATCCAAAGTAATGGACAAATGAACAGTTTTTACCTGATGATGGTGTTAGGTTAACTAAACTGATTACAGTTCATCCTGAGGGAGAGATGAACCAAATTTGATGGTCATCCATCCAATGCTTGTTGCCAGCATCATAGTAGGACCAAAATGAATGTCTGTACCAAATCTTGTGTAGAGTATAGTGTAGTTTAGAATAATGCTGTGTTGTGCATTTACAGTAGCAGTCTCATATGTAATGTGGCGAGTCATTTATATTGTTTCCAGCAGGCCCTCAGCATGGACAGAGAAAGCTGCTAAGCTACGTCAGGTCATCACCGACATCCTCCCCATTGACGTGCACTGCCCTCAGCCTCTGGCCCATGATGCCCTTCCTTCAGCAGGTGCCGACTGCCTCGTGTCCTGCTTCTGTTTGGAGAGCGTCAGCCCTGACCTGGCTGCTTTCACCAGGGCCTTGGGCCACATTGGTAGGCTCCTGCGGCCTGGTGGCCACCTCCTGCTCATCGGAGCCCTGGGAGAGAGTTACTATTTTGGAGGGCCTGGCGTAAAGATCCCTGTGGTCCCACTGACTGAGGCCCAGGTCTGTGATAGTTTGAAGGAGAGCGGCTACACCCTGATCAGGCTGGAGGTTTACACACTGCCTCAGGACATGAGGGTGGGGGTCGATGATGTGACTGGGGTGTTTTTTGCAAAGGCAAGAAAGGATTAAAAGATAAAGAGGGAGAAAAGGCAAAGGGTGAAAGGTATTACAGTTAAAAGCGAAGAAATAGCTATCCAGATGAAAGTATTATAGATTAAGCCGAGGTAAATGCATGCTTAAGCACAGCAAACAATTGTTGGTAATGCTTTTATATTTTTTTACCAATAATGTTTTGTTATTGGTAAAAATAATACCCACGAATATTTGTGTTTTTAGTTTTGTTTTGGGCTAGAGGATGCTTTGTGATACTCAATAATTTTGCTAATATTGCTGATTCTCTGAGGGTGAATAGTACTGACATTCCCTTTTGTTGCCAGAAGAGCTCTCATTGTTAGAAATGTAATCACACATTGCCTCCTGCAGTTCAAACACAGCAACTACAGCATCAAGAATGTAATGCTTCAATTTTTGGTTTTCAGCACATCATATAATATCATAACATAGCAATTTCCCAGCTGTTTATAAACAGTATATTTTGATATACTATATACTTCTTTTCAATTAACTGTTATTCAGTTAAGAGGTTGATGAGTGGCCTATTGTGTTTTGTAATTTGTGATAAAGCGAATAAAGAAGCAAGGCTAAAACAATGCTTATTTCATGATGTTTTCTTATCTCAGAATGGTAACATCATGTTGATGTCAACCTCTTGTCGATTTTGAAATAGATGGAGGCCGAGATGGGTGGAAGCAGTGTAAATCTGATAGTATCGATGTGTTAGAAAACACATCTCATTGCAGTTCCATGGGTTAATCTTAATATTTGCTATGTTATCAATCTTCTAAGAATAAGATTGTGTAATTAGAAGTATTGAACACTGGGCATCACTACTTGGCCATTTTGAGTTGCTCACGAAATATCGACCGTGGAACCCAAAACAGAACTAAACTTGGATAATCTTTAAGGATATTAACTGTCTTTGGTACATCTAATCCGAGGCTGTTCACAAATGGACAAGAACAAAGATCATAAAAGTGCGAAAACGTGTTCACGGCTCCTCGTTTAATAAAACTCTGATGTCATTTGCTATATTCAAATGCATACACTTTGTGATGTTCAAATTACATGTTGACTCCAGGTGTTAACTGAAATGACAAATAAAGCCTTTTATTTTCCTGTGCAAAATGGTTGGAGCATTGTACATTCCTACAAATTAATTCTACAGACATACAATCACACAAACGCCAATGGTCCATTATGATTGTTTTATTAGCAACCAACACAAAACATAATTTATATACAAGGTTCACACTTAAAAAATAGGTCTTCTTTCAGTTGCCACCTATCATCTCTGTCATCCCAAAACAGATCATGTTTGCCAATCGCCATGTTACAAAAAGCCTGTTCATAATATTAAACCAGAAAAACTGTGCTGCATTATCATGATTAGTTGGATTAGTCTGATATGATGTAATCTGACCTGCTATGGCTGTGACTGCACTCAAACTGTTAATCTGTAATCCATCCTCCTTTGATTTCCTTGACCTTGCATGCATATGTCTACAAGGTGGAGGAAAGCAAACTGAAAGTGTCGTTTTTTGGGTTAAATTTCAACAGGGATTGGCTCTCCACCTGTTTACTGTGTACTGTATATTCATCAAGTATATCATGTAATATAGTGTATTATATACTACAGTAATCCACAACCTCTGGCCAAACTGTATGAGACATGCTATAAAATAACAACCTCATCAGGGCCCTCAAACATCACTTCAGACTACAGATAAAATTGAATCTTACATGTAAAATATGCATAAGATTGTGTATATGTGAACTGTAAATGTAAGTTTGTTACCTCTTGTAACACATGGAAGTCTTATCTTGAGTTGTGTGTTTCAGCACCAGTATCACTCAGTGACATAGGCTAGCCAAAATCAGATTCTTCACACATGGATATAGTTTTCTGGGAAAAACTACCCAAAGAGAAAGTCGCAGAATCCTGTTGAACCTGTTGGCTGATTGGGATTTAGCCTTGGCTTCCTTGGCCGACCAAGACGTGACTTCCTTCACAAGTCTCAGGTTAAACTTTTCCTCATACCTGCTCATTAATATTCTGACCTTCCTCAAGGCCCGTCTGTTTTCCTCTCCCCCTTTTTTTTCCACATTAAACTCTTTTGTCACATGCATGCACACACCCACAGACCCAAATAACACACACTCATACGTACACCCGTGCACACACACATATGGCCCACATGTGCGCTATGCAAGTCTGTTCCTCACTAACACTCTCCATCTGAGTCCTCTTCTTTTGTCATTCTCCTTTTCCTTCATCTCTTTCTTTGGCCTCCTCTTCATCTCCATGGTGACTGCTGAGATCAGCACTTCCTGTGAAACTGGCCGGCGGAGCACACTGATCCCTGACTGGTTTGCTTTCTTCTCTTAGATCTGACAAGAAAGGGTTTTTTTAAGCAATGTCTATGTGTGGTACAAATGCCAGCATAAGATAGATAAATGGCTTAATGTGAAAGATCTGTCCAACCCACTTGTTTCTGATGCTGTCTGCTGGATCTCCTTCTCACGTTCTTCCTCTTCCTCCCCAGAAGAGGGCTCCTCTTTGTCCAAAGAAGACATATCTAGGGAGGACAGGTGGGCCTGGGCCATCCTCTGGACAGCTAAAAATAAAAATAAGGACATAGAAATGATCAGTTAATCCTTAAATGGGCATATGATGGATGGATGAATGGATAAATATGGGGATGGAAGAGATTATGTATGTTTTGATTTACTTTTTTGCTATTTATTACATATTTAATGGGAACAAGTCGTTAACACAACATTGACATATCAACACCTTTGAAGTTGATATGGCAAACCGGTTAGCAGACATTGCTTTTTTACACACCCAGTTAGTTACGAAGCATCATTATCATTCATTTAGAGTCACGTTTCTCGTCACCTGATAAATATAAATCTTGTTTTTGGTCTCTATCAACCCCTGAGGAAAATGTCTGGAACTCAAGGTTTTAAATGTTCCACTATATTCGCCAGCTAGTTGCTAAACTTTTGGTTCCAAAGCAGGTAAGGTTAAATAATAATATACGTGGAAACAGCTGCCTGCTATGGCCGAAAGAAACACTATGAGAGCAGTTGCTATATTTATATAACTTCCTACATGCACTTTATTAGTATTAGACCTGCACTGTATATTCATAGTAGTAGTAGTCCTGTCCAATTATTTATTTTTATACCATGCCACTACCTCCTGCTGTGACCTGTACAATATTCAATATCAATCACATCTGTATAAAAAAGCTTTATATAATCTCTCATATTCTATTTTTCCCCCCTATTCATTATATTTCATTATATCTTGTATTTTTCTATTCTATTTCTATTTAATAGTGAATGAATTTCCTCAGTGTCTTATGTTATCTTATGTTAGCTTTAAAGAATAACCTATCACCTGGGTGATGTTTCACTGCCTCTCTGGTTGGCAGTTGTTTTAACTTTGACCACACCCAGCAACACCCTTTCAGACTGTTAAAGACCACCCACCTTCTTCCTTAAGCAACCTGTTTTCTATCACTGAGTAAACTGACAAGCCCTGACTGACATATTTTATGGATGTTACTATATTATATTCAAGGGATAACAATAACATTAACAGTGATCATAATAACTGCAGGAAGTTTGTGTAAAATTAGAATATTTTAAGGACATTTTTATACAGTCCTGTTTAAGGTATATATAAACTTTTCTTTTTACAATCATACATACTTAATATGCGTCTCTTTGGACAAATTCTGTGTTTCACCCTGATGCTTGGCCATTGTTCTATTAGCTCTTTGGTTGTTTTATATGAGTAGTTTTCTAATGTAGAATGAGGCTGTTTGCACCTGTAACACACACCCAACAGGGATGTAATGTGGTTGAGGAGTAAACTTATACATCTCTGCTGCAAGATGAGAAGTTAAAACAAGGTCAGCAAAAACAAAATGTTCTGGGGATGTTATGGCAGTCTGTTGAAAGGCAAAAGAACAAATAAATGATGAGCTTAATTACCATGAATATGAATTATGTGCAGTAGTGCTGGGAGGTATGGCCAAAAATTCCTTGGTGGAGGTTCGGGCAGTTTCACTGTACATCATGGTATTTTTTTATATAAAGACTTTTTGGTTTAATCTACTGTTAGGAGTACATAGTATATAAAAACAATTAAATGTCATTCCGTATACGCTGAAATCTTTGAGTACTACAGGGATTGCTTGGCCCCATAAAATGATACAATATATGAAGGAATCTGAATGTAAACTATTTTTATTGTTCATTTTTACATAAAAAAATATTTTTTAAAAAGTGTTTAAAGAGATATTTCTCAAATGTTCTATTGCACAAGAAACAAATGAGTAACAGCAGCATATGAGCAGTGGTATATAACAAATTCATGTCATACGGAAAATTTAAACCCATATATCCGGTCATCTGGTATATCGCCAGGCACTAATGTGCAGTAATATTAATTCCTTTCAGTGAAAATAATCCAACCCTTCCTTTGTACAATAAGGCAAAGCCATATGGATAGATTCTTTTCTTACTGGTCCTTTTTAATTTGGGCCACACTTGAGGTGGGAAACTCTCCTTGCCAGACAGACCAACAGTGTTTTACTACTGATTATTAAGATCTGGTTCAACAAAATAAGATGCCCCATTGAAAAATGCATCATAAATAGATGGATGTCAGGAATCTGGAGTATTATAAGGTTGCATTTTTAGGTATTTCTGGTATTTCAGTATTTAATTTCACTAATAACATGTGGGTGATCTGGTATGGATTGTGTTTATGTAAAACAAAAATATAGGCCTTTAACATCATGATGATGTTAAACAATCATACACACAATACATTTTTAGTAAAACAGTGTAGACATTTTAAGCAGCAACAGTTATGATTGTGTCAAATTCACAACTGCCACAACACAGTAGATGAATAATAATATACTATATGTATATTTATATCAAATATAAATGTTTTGTGTTTATATTTTTGTGACTCTGGGTGTATGTGTGTGAGACCATGTTGCAGCTGTGAGCCCATCCTATAATCCAGGATGATCCAGAACAGACTCACAGCTGTCTCTGCTCCTAATCTCACATAACACACACACACACACACACACACACAGACACACACCTCTCACTGTGTTTTTTGGATATGCACGTATTCCAAACAGATATAGACCACATGGCAGTTGCCACTGCAGAATTAAGTCTCACAAATTCTTTCTTTCTGTGTAATTTGTTATGTAAATTAAAACATATATGTGAAACACACACAAACTCATTCAAGACAGTTGCATTTACCTTTAAGTGAGGGTGGCTGGTAGGTTGATGCGTGAACCAGTTTGGCTTTCAAGGCTCTGTTTTCTCCCAGAACCCACTGCAGATGTAAAACATCCAAATGACAAATGATAGATAACATTGTATATAACATATAATATATAACATATTTGTATTTTATATGTTTTAGTGTTATATCGGTGAAGTGTTGTAGCCTCAGATAAATCACAAAATATAGTATATTGCTATTATTTAGTTATTTTTTTAACTGTTAGCATTATAGAAGAAAAGCAGCAGACATTCATTGAAGAGGAAAAAGTATAATACAAGAGAGATACTAGAGATAAACAAAACAATTACAGTCAGTCGCATTCAAAGGAAAGAGTCAAAATTAGGTTTTGGATTCAGAGTCAATGAAACTTAGTGCACAATATACATTACTTACATTGATACTGTTTTGTCCCGTTTTTGGGAAGACCTCTATTACTGGCACTGAGTTATTGTCATAATGGATGGCTAAATTGTACTTATTTTGCTCAATGTGCCTCTGTGTCCTGGTCTCTTCTCATTTTACCAGGCCCTGCATTTTCTAGACCTGCCATTCTCCACCTATCCACCAGATGCCCTCAGACTCTCCCACCAATCCTGTTCACCACACTCCCACATCCACCTGCTCATCTGTTCACATTTCTAAAACATCCCCACCTGTGACCACACCTGCCTCTCATTATCTCAGTCCATTAGTGTGTATAACAAGCTCACCAGCCCTTTGCCAGTTTGTCATGTTGTCATCTGTATCTGTTCTTGCTTTCTTGTTACCTGTTCCTGTGTTTTGACCTGTTCCTGACTTCTCACCAGATATGCCATCTTGGATTTGTTTGACAGTTTGGACTGCCATCTTGTTGCCAGTTGTAAGCATCTTCCTAAACATTTCTTTTAGCACACTTCCATTCACTACCTCCTTGATGTGTTTGTGTGTTTGTCTGCATTTAGGACCTCAATCCTCTTGCTTTGTACACACATCCATGACAGATACAGAATGGGCTCAGACGGGAATGTAGTATTTTGGTGTGCACCCACTCACTCGTATCCCACAGAATATACAGCGGTCTCTAATGCAAATTTGCAACATTGCCCAGAATCCCTTTCCCCTAGAGAATAAGCTACACTTTGTGTACATATAGAGCTTGATAGCAAAATGAGACAGAAACTCACATGCCTTACTCAGAACAGGCAAACTTGTCATTGCATTATGTTGTGTGTGTGTTTAAGTCCCAAATAGTGCACACCAGCTGATCTACCTGGTGAGGGCCAATGTCTTCCTCTGGTGACGGTGGGTCTGTCAATCTGAAGAGTGTGGCTGGTGTAGGCCTTCGACGTCGAATCTTAGCAAAGAGAGAAAAGGAGAGTCTTAGTTTGTATCAAATCATTCTCTGTGTGTGAATTTGTGTATATTTGCATATGTGTGTGTGTTATGCAAAACCTTATACAAACAGTCCCATCCATAAGAACAAGGTGTCACTGATATCCATTTCATCATCTACACACCTGTTCCCATTTCTCATGAGTCCTACAGTTACCTGGCCCACTCCATCATCGTCATCATACCATCATCAGCTGTTGTTGTGTTACCAAGTGCATCACATTCATGTCTTTGCTTTCCAGATTTTGTATCTGTATTGTGTTTCATGTGTTTTACCTGAGACCTGTTATTTTTGGACTTGAATTTTCTGCCTGTCCCCTTGAATTTGTTAGCCCGCATTGTACTGCTCTTCTGGTTTAGACCCATGTCAACATCCTGTAAGCCATTGTACCTCCATTTTGGTGCAAATCATTGAACTGCATCAAACTCTGCTTCAGTTGTCTGCATTTGGGTCCTTCCTCTGTATACTTGTTATCTTGCTTGCACCAGCCGTGACATTTATTCAGCCATGCAGTTGTTATGTCTGCAGAGGTTTTTCTTTTTTTGCAATGAGACAATGCATATTGTTACATAACAACATTGGAAAGATTGTTGTCCTGAATGAGGATTACATCTTGTTATAGATGGCGACTGGATTACTTAAATTTGCTTACTATGTTACTGCGTGTTCCCATCACTTGGTTGTAATCATTTAGGCTTTTCAATTCTTTTGTCTGATGTGTAATTTTACCAGTTTACCATTAGATGCATGTCGACTTCAACTTAACACTCTTGAACATAGTACCAAATAATAGCCCTCTTACATTCTTTGATTAGTGCTGGGTGGTGGCTTGTTTAAATGTTGGTGTTCTGTTTCTTAGGTTTCATGCTTTTAAACATGACTTCATTATAGAAGATTGTTTTCAGTTACAATTTCAGTAAAATCAGCATTTAAGGTTTAAAAATATATCATCTCTGGCTGTTATTGCAGTCATGGTTATGGTTTCTACAGATGTATTATACTAGTGTACTTACAACCTGATGTTTCTTCTCAGATCACATACTGTGGACAGATATTCTACATCTGCATTTCTGTTGAATCCACATCTTTGTGTGAAGCAGAGTGAGTCATAGAAACCAACAGTTATGCAACTGACATGAAATGTTCTGAAATATAACTTTAAAATCTCTTATGTAACACAACTTTAAAATAATATGTAATAAAAAAAAGTGATGATTCAAAAAATTTTGTAATTAAATAGTTGTTTTAAATTGCACCTACACACATTTTGAGGTACTTGTACTTTGAGAATTTTCATTTTATGCTTCTACTTCTACATTTCAGAGGGTTAGGGTTATATTGGAGGGAAATATTGTACTTTTTTTTACCACACAACATTTCACAGCTATAGTCCTAACTTTATTTATAAGAGATAGATATAGATATAGATATAGATATATCTATATATATATATTAGTTTATAGACTATAATACATTCTTACTGATTAAATTACCCAAAAGCATTAAAAGTAGTTAAAATTGAGTCCAACTCAACCAACTACAGTGTTAAAGTACCCTACAGGGGCCAATCAGCATTCTAAGTACTGACAATAGAACATTTTGTTTCCAATACTTAAAGTTTCTCCCTTGAAAATTTAATTTTCACCTATTCATGATTTAAGTCTAAGCTACACTAACCTTTGATTATTCATAGTAAAATAAACAATAATAAAACACCTTCTTGTGGATAACAATAACAAAACGTGTTATGAAATATACAATAGATTCATCACTCTCTCTGTTTTGTAATGTGTTATGGTAATAAGATTGTTGGGAGATACAAGTTGTGAAATACCAGTGGCTGCCAAGCCAATCACAGCGGAGAGTGTAGGCATGAAATGTGTGGGCAGCTTTCACTTTGGAGTAACTCTTACTGCTGCTGCTTCACTCTGTGTGCTGGATTCATAAATATTCATCATTCAGACACTAGAATTAAATATGCTGCCGTTGTGGGGAGCAAATTTAAATCTGAATTACAAGGCATTCAATTAGAGGTCAAAAATGTCTCAACATGAAAATTTTAATGTGGTAATCTAACAAACAAGAGCGGTTTCCACACAAATTGACAAACATATACACATCTCTCAGCAAAAAAGCATGTGCAGTCAAAGGCCCAAACCACAGGTTAAGCACCTGTCGGAGAGCCTTTGCAGACGCTGACCTTTTCTGAGTGTTTTGTTAACATGGTTGCCAGAAGGTCAAGCACCTAGAGGGAACATAGTATTTTCATCCCATCCTTGTTGTGCATCTCTGAAATGTCTGTACATACCTGTGGTAGCTCAGTGGACCTGCAATGCAAGACTGATTTGATTTGTTTGACATTCCTCAGCACATGCAGCTACTTGGTAGTGGATTAATTTCCCCAGCTGTATGTAACCTACTGGATTGTAGAATTTGGCTTCTATTGGGAGTTTATTTAGATTTTTGCTTTATCATTGTAGGGTTAGGGTTGCCAGCAGCTCTCTCAGTACAGTGCTGAATTGTTTTCATTAATTTTTAAACATTTATTGAACCCGTCATCCTGATTTGCTAGACATATTTTCACTGACCCAATAATGTTTCAATAATTTAGTTTTGGTTCGGATGACAGCACACAAATATTGAATCAGACATCCCTTTAAGACATAATTTGATGATTCCTGGTGCTCAAACACAGTCAAAGTGGATGGACGCAGTTTATTTTTAGTGAAACCATATTATCATCACTATTCTGTTGCTGCTGTTGACATGATGCAAATTCAAACGATGCAGTTTAAAATTATTTGCTGATTGTATACGTGTATGTATATAAATAACAGCAAATATTGTTTTGTTTTATTTTTTTTACTTTTTGTGTTATTCTATGAATTTGATTGTCTTTCTCTATGTGTGTAGCATGAAGGAACTACAAACTTTAATTTCATTAAACAAACTTAGACTGCTGTCTGAAGTTTACAGAATTTTTTCTTTAGGTACCTAAGTTTCTCAATGACAACTGTCCTCTACTCAAATAGCTAAATGGCTGTTTCAGTGGCCATACACATCAAACTGTCTTCAAGCACTCAATTGACAGTGTGGTGTGTTTGAAAACCAATTTAATCACAACTCACTAAAAACACTGTCTTTTGTACAAGCCTATTTATACAGCTTAAAAACCCCAAATTTAAAAAAAGACCTAATGCTTTACTTTGTTCCATGCCAAAAGAGTAAATGTATGTATGTGAATTTACTGAACTATTGCTCAAGGTTTTATACACCAACACTTTGTTGTTACAGGTTCTATAACAAAAAAATATCTGGTTAATAAAACTTGATGTGAAGTTAGCTGTATCAAAAAACAGCAAAGTACGTCATTCATTTTGGTGCGACCACTCACACAACACCATGCCGTGACCAGTGAAAGTGAGGACAGCTGGACCAAACACTCTACACCAACTGTGCATGTCTGATGTGTGTTTTTGCATGTGCAGGACTTAAAGCAGCGCAGGACTTCAGTATAGTGATCGCATAGTTTAATCCCCCACCTCATTTTTGGTAGGTGTGACCTTGGTGGTTACCTAACATTCAGTTTCAATGCATTAATCTGGATGTTTATAATGCACAATGGCAGCACTGGGTGGGCCGAATGTCCCAAAGAGCCGTTTATACAGAAATAACCTATCCACTTAACAATTAAGACCATGCAGTGAAAGCATAAATCCCTTGCTTTTGTTCATACAATGCTTTCAATTTATTCGGTGAATAATCCTGTGTAGAGCTTGATTTGATGTTCAAGAAAAGACAAATGGAACCCGCTATTGCCGTTTGACCTTTTTGTTTTCCAGTGAAGAATTTCTAAAAATAGATGAGAGTTGATTAAAGAACATCACGTCTGATTTTTAACCCTTATCAACCAGGCAGCTTGACTCTAAGTACAATCTTTTTGAAGCAATTGTCTCAACAGTCATTAATGGGATGGGAGGTCCGCACGCACACACACACACACACACACACATACTGCACACATATGTACTTGAAACTGGAAACTTCCCATGCAAACCCTCTACATTTAACTAGAGTTCCTGTCTCCCTAAATGGCAAGTAAATGTGTTTTTTTCCCTGCTACTTGCTAACCAGACATATATTCTGACATCACCTTCTGTGTATAGGAATAATGTGTTAACAGGAGCAGAAGGGACTATGCTGAGTTTGTTAAATAAGACTCTGTGAAGTTCAGAGCTCTTGGCTGTCCTGCGGTAAAAATTTGTTCTTCGCATTAGCTGTCCTTGCCCTTGATTCAGGCCTCAGTCATCCACAGCTAATCTCTTAGGTTTTAATCAGTCATCTCCTTGGCTGATGATATTTTTTCTCTCTTTTCCTTTCTTACATGCCTTCTGTCAGTTATCTTTCTCTTTTTTTCCTCCCTCTTGTTCTTATCAACCCAACACTTTGTTTTATTCATTCCCTCCTACTCTATCTCCGTATCTCTCTACCTGTCTCCTTTTCCATGTTTTCCATTTAAATGCTAATGTTATCGCTGTGTTTTGGAAATGTTGTACATAAGAACTCACATATACCCCCTTTTGTGTGGGCTGGTACCACTTAAACTCACACAGGTTTTAGTCACTATCAGTGGGGAAGGGGCAGTATGGTCAGCTTTTAATGAGAGCAACAAAGGGATGAGATACCCTTGAGCAATTCTCCCAGGGCTGTTGATGTGACTATGACCTTGATGAGCAACAACTTTCCAGACTCTTGAGCAGTCATGCTTGGGTAAATAATTCATTAACCAAATCCTCAGAATCTAAGCAGGGCAGTGGCAGATTACAGGGCAGGTGTCAAGTGACAAGTGCATTTGTGAAAGTTAAATCTCCAGTGTGGTTTGGGGAAAAAGAAATGCTCCTGGTCAGCTACCGTTAAAGTCCTCTGAATAGGAGCTGTTTCCCAGAAGCAACATGCTGGGGTCAATTATCCAGGAAGGAGGGTTGTGGTTTGCAGCATTCAGACATGTCTCAAGTACAGTTGAGTATTATCCCACATGACATGACCAGTAGGCAGTTTTACTAATCACCAGCGTGGCAGAAAAGGTTGGTTTGGGGGGGGGGGGATTCTCATGCAGACTGCCTAAATTAACAATTATAAAACTTATTTTGCAGCTGAATGACCCCTCAGCTGGATTGCTGGTATGTTAAGCATGAAGAAATTCCTCTAACTGCCCAGCTGTATTTACTCCACTATGATTTTCAGCAACAGGTGATCCTATAAGTATTTTCCGTTCATTGCAACACAAGGGTTGCTTCAGTGGCTATAAGAAGACAAATCCTAAAACATATTATGACTTAAGAACCTTTGTAGCCTTTTGCATGCTTTACCAGGAAATGCTGCTGCTTTGATTCCCCTTAGATCTATGGAGGAAGATTTGCAGTAATCTTACTGGATCTTGATCTGGCAAAATCCCAGAACATCTTATAGGGAAAAAACTGACTCAGCTGACATGGTGCTGTCAATGAGCTATTACAGGCTGAAATGTATGTTGGAAGGAGAGAACTGAAGACTATATGGAAATAATGAACTGCACTAGTAATGTGAACCTTTCCTGGATAGTTGTAACAAATTTGCACAAGGAAGTATTTAACTTAACGGAGCGCGGAGAGTTGGTTTAACCCACATAGTGTTCAAAAGGGTTTCAGTTGTTATATGCTGAGATTTGACATGAAATCAACATGGGGTTGGTTAAAAAACGCAACAGAAGGCTTAAAGAAAGTAAAGTAGTGCAAACCCTTCGAGACTGCAAGTTGGGCTGTAAACAACAGATGTGTGAGAAATATTTGAGTGCCTGAATATTATTGATTTATTAGTTTATTTTTACATTCCAGGCTGAAACAAGCTGTCCAAGCAGAAGCCCCATGAAATCTCAAAATCTTTTACTGGGAAGAGGATTACGGATATTGCACCTGCTCAAGTAGCAGCCGGTCATTAAGATGTTTTTTTGTCTCAAAAGCGGAAGTAATGGATAAACCTACATTTGGCTGTTATCCAAATGTTCCTCAGTGTTACCTTGATGACCTTTATGGGCTGTCATTGCCAGACTAAATGCTGGTCTGCATCCATATTGCACAGGCCAACATTATTCCTGTTCACACTGCACTATTTCAGTAACACAATGTCTATACTACCAGGTCAGCATGTTTCACCTGCACTGCTTTGGAACAATTCAGCATAAGCTACAGATAACCCAGTTATGCTTTATTTATTTTACATAACATACTCACCCACCTCCTTGCAACGTATGACTAACAATGTGACCTTTCTTGTTTTGTTTCACAGATGTGGTAAGGGTATTATTTCTCAAGCACATAATCTCATTTTATAATATTACTAACAGTGCTTTATCTCTCACTTCCTCCTCCTCCTCCTCTTCCTGCTCCTCCTGC